TTTGATATACCACTCGTCTTCTTGAGATCTTTGAAGCGCAATCACTGAAACTCCTGAGATAAGGAAATTTTCCTTCTGGCTGTTCAGTTACTGAGTACTTGGTACTAGGACAACCAAAATTGCCGGAGAGTCTCCTAAGTGACTGGTTTTAGAAGCAAGGGCAATGTCGGGCGAACCTGCTGCTACTGGTCTACCACCACCATCTCCTGCAACCACCGCTACTGCGAGCTTCGTGGAACACGACGAGAACTTTTCCCAAGGACAGATTTATAATGCATATGCATCGTTCAAAGGTTTGTGCTCTACTTGTTCAAAAGACACCAGGCTGACCAGAGATGAAGAATCGGTTGTAGTGTATGTACCGACCACAGGTGGGGGATACAGTTTAGATCCTCGCCGAGAAGCACTGCGCCAAATGTGCCAGAGTCTGTATAAGAGATCAGAAGACTTTACCTTTGCCGAGATCTACACTGCCATGATGCATACTTCCCCAGTGCAAACGTTGAATGGACAGTCCGGGAAGTTTTTCCTGAAGTATATCCGAGATCAGCTTCAGGATTCCGAATTTTGCAGCACTGACGACGGTAAACTTGCAACTCTTGCAGTCCAACTGCAGACCCTGGTTTGGGTGAGATTGAATCGCAGTGGTCCTGCACGCCCGGCAACGTTGGAATACTTGTGGCCTGAGATGAAGGAAGATCATACAGCTCCGGCTACTTGGATGATATCTGGAGTTTTCGATGGTTATTCAGGATCATTTCGGTTAACTGGAACGCTTGACGAACTCATCAATTTACTTGACTGTGAAGAATGAGTAAATATCAGTCCTTACTGGTAGCCTTTGCGCGCAGTGTGTAATAGAACATCGATAGCCTAATATAGTTACAAATTTACTCTTTTCACTCGTGACAGATTAGAAGAATATATCTGTACTGTAATGAGCTGGCTAGAGATCTTTGGGCGACCTATACTTTTCCTCTCTTTCTTTCTTTCTTTTTTTTCTTTTTTTTTTAAAAAAATATCTTTTTCATAATTTTATTTCTAGTCTTACTTTTTGTTTTGTTTTTCTTCTTCTTTTCCCTTTTCTTTTATTTATTTATTTTATTCTGTCATGGACACAGTGTCTGCCTCCGGAATGATCTATAAATAAGGTTGTTCTCATCGAGCAAAAGAGAATTGTACCCCCAATAGACACGGAAGTCGACTACTATGGCCTTTGCTATAAATTTCACGAGTGTCTTGTCTGGTATACTACTGTCCTAGGTGACCGCCGAAGCCTCTTCCTGGCTATGCCTTGCTTTATTATCTTGTTATCTCCTGTTTTAATCTCGATATATCATCGTATATGCTTGCCTTTACTGTATTTCATAGCTTTTTGCGTGTACGCTCTACAGGTATTCTGGGAATCCTTTTGGCCGTTACTGTATCTTGCCGTCTCAGTTGAGATTTCGTCCCGGGACGAATTGTATAATTAAATTATCCGCTGGATTTCGAGCTATCCTGGTTTGAGTTAAACTCAACGATCTACTGCAAGATTGGATGTCGCCCTATCTTGGAACACTGATAAAAATGACGAGAATCTTTCCGGTAAAGATAATGCAAAGCTGGAAAGGAATCCGCGAGAGTTCTGGATGGAACAAAAGCTCCGAGACAAATTGGGCCGAATTTACTTTATATTTGCGGCTTTCCAGATCAGTTTCTTCGAATATAATGGGCGGTTGTTTGCCTTTAGTCGCCAATTATAAAAAGACGTCTTCGGTTCATGGGCTACGAGAGGGAAAAGGCTGTATTTCTATATAGCCCTGTGGAATAAACAGGCGCTTAGAGACTTTCTCGCTGATATCTGAAAAGCTGTTGCTGAAAAAGATAACGATACTCTCGCAGTACGGCGAGCTCTCAAATACGGTTCCGATTTTCGATGGATATATACTATTTCCAAGCAACCGCGATAACTATTAACAATTGTATTAGATTACGATCTGAAGAGCCAAATTATCAGTGATATCCAAAGATCATCTTCTCCCTAGTACCCGGAAATGGTATCAGTTAAGAGACTTTCCGTATCGACGGGGTTATCTAATTTATGGCCCTCCCGGTATAGGAAAATCAAGCTTCTGTCTTGCTATTGCTAGTCTGGTTCAACTTGATATTTATATTATAGACCTTGCTGTGAGTGGCCTGGATAAAAATATTTAAGTTTTTTTTGTTTCAATCTCTCCCGGAGAGGTGTATTGTTCTTTTCGAAGATGTGGATTAGGCCGGCTTTGAGAAAAGGAAGTCTGAGAAATCTTTCAGCGAAATGCCAGACGAGGTGAATGGCAAAGAAGGTATTGTTGTTGAGGCCCAAGACCGCGAGCGACCATTCAATTGTCTTACACTGGCTGGGTTATTTAATGTTATTGATGGTGTATCTGGACATGAGGGTCGTATCTTAATTATGACTAACAATCATATCGACTAACTTGATCCTGCTCTGGTACGCCTAGGTCGGTTGGATATGAAAGTCTTCTTTGGCTGTACTGAACGGTTTGCCATAGCAGAACTATTTCTTATGTACTCGGAGCCTGCGGATGTTAACGCAAACCTTTCTCATATACCAGAGGTATGGTATAAATCACGTTAATTGAATATCTTTGGCTGATTATAGTAGATTCAAAGAAGCATCTAACAACGGTGTGAAAAAACCCCGGAAGCAGCGCGGGCACGCCGAAGCTCCTTTGTATCGCCCACTCAAGCCAAAGAAACATAGAGCCAGCCCCCTAGCCTGTATATCTGGAGGTAACCTGAATCTCAACAGAACTCTAGTGAGTCTCGACCAAAACACGCAGCGAGTCCTTGTCGAAGCCTTCACCATCTGAAATCAGATCTCACCCTTCCAGGTGCGAGGCTTCCTCGCTACGAATACTTGCACCCATTGTCAGAGCTGGGTTTCTACGTGGAATTCTCTGTTCGCCCCGCCTTCAAGACAGCGGGTGGCATCTACTTTTCCCGAAGGGAAGACTGTGTTAGCACTTCTTGTCGTATATATGCAGTCACTGACTGGTATAAGGCTATTCTCCATGATGATGGCCTTATTTCTTGCATCTACCGTGACGATTGTAGGGTCATCGCAGGTGGTATTGATTTGACAGAATCGCGTGAGTTGCCTGGCTCCCTGTCGCGGTCGTTGCCAGAGGCCGAGTATAAGATTATGTCAGAGGCCTTCCCTAAATCCTCCCCGTCTTGATCTGGCGGCGGGAATCAGCCGTTTACGACTCCTCTCGTCGGTGGTGTAGATAATGATGTTCCTTCGACTTTGCCTAACGCCCTCAGCGCTTTCCAGAACGAGTTCCAGTCTATCGTCAATCGTTTTCAGAATTTTGGTAGCGAGTTGCTTGAATTGCAGCGACTCACCTGCACAAGGAATTTATTCAGCTACACGTCAATCTCCGCACTGTATCGCGGTCTCCTAGTGTCTTCCGCAGCACCATCGTTACTCCGTCGAAGTCCAAGCGGCAGGACTCAGGTAAGCTTTTGGTAGCGACGCATGGAGTACCCTTGTTACAACCGCAAGCCATATTCCGCGCATTTCCATTGAAAGTGCAGTTCCGAAGTCGTCCTTTCTGGTTTAGCTGCTGAGAAGTGTCGTCGGTCCCTCTCATCCATCATAGAGGAGCCAGAGCCTTCCAAGCGCCCTCGTGCAGCCGACGATCAGTCGCGACCCCCGGGGCGCACTTGTGCTGCCGGAGAAGCCGTCTCCCTGGACGATATAAAAATCACTACCAAGGTGCCCAAGCGCCCCCGCAAGTGGGGATGTTGTCTCGGTGCGTCGTATAGTGAGATCCACACCCAGTGTGTCATCGTCGCTGCTCGTTGCTGGCGACTTGGGCCTTTCCTTGGGTTTTTCGCGGTGGCCTGCCCCAATCAGTTCCTTTCTTTGTGCCCATCTGACGCGTTGTCTAACGATATGATGAGTTATAGCCTGCTGTTGACCGTCCTTCGCGTCTTCTTTCCCCCGCTTATGTGCCGAGCGATCCCCCGATTACTCCGACTTCTCCCACTCTTTGCAGGTCATCGTCGAGATGTCGTTGTATGATGGTGGGGTGGGCTCTGTTATCGATGACTTGACGCACGCCCCCTGGCTAGTCCTACTTTCTTCAGGTGTCAGCGACACTGATATCTACAACTGTTGCGGAGCATCCACTTAAACAGCTATTAGACGCCGTCCGTTAATGAGATTAGGAAGAATTCAACCTCCTGGTTCGTCCCGTGCGTAGATATCTTACATGGACCGAACCACCTGCTTTGTAGCTTCTGGGGGTCGTCATTGTGGGCCAGCACCCAGTATCCCTCCTTGAAGCTATGTAACGCTACCTTCTTATCTCACACCTTTTGTTTCACCGTGTGCACCCATAGCTAATGCTCGTGCATGCGCTATAGACTGGAGTCTTCCTTCCCATTTGCCGTTTTCCTTTATTCTCATTGTTGTCCGGTAGCTTGGATTAGACACTGTACAACACAGAGAAGAGGTTTATACATGACACAGTGTGATGCCATATCAGAGCTATAAATACTGTCTGCAGCAAGCACTTGTTTTATAGCTTTACAGGCTCGCATATCAAAGGGGTCCCAAGTAGCTCCCGCGAACATTCGGTTGACTAATGTGGTCCTTTCTAGTTCTGTAGCTTCTTTCTGGGCCAGGATCCGTTCGTCCTTGAAGTACTGGTCGATCCGCCGCAGCCATTTTTCGGCCGCTTCCCGTTCGTACTGACCGTCGTAGCGTGGAATCTGTTCTAGGTCGGATACCTTCCGGTATGGTTGTCCGCTCCGGCTCACCGAGGCTTTGGAGGCCGTCGGTGTAGCGAGCCCAGAGGTCGGTGGGGGTGCGACCCACTCGTCATTCCGTTGTTCCCATTCATTCACCTTCCGCGCGGCCTCGTATTTGGCCTGCTCTGCTGCTTGTCAAGCAGATTGTTCTCCCCGGAGCTGCTCCTCCATAGCCTGCAGGCGTGCACCCACGGCAGCCCATGGATTTGCAAAGGCTATGCGGCGATCTCCATCAAGCGTCAGCCCTCATGTCTGTTCGAGTAGTTGGGAAAGGATTGGCCGGTCATGATAGTAGCGTTTTTGAGGTAAGGTAGTGAATGCTAAAAACTTTATGTCGGATCATTCAATCGACGGGGACTCTGCTGTCTCAGTCACATGCTACTCTTTATAGACGGCCCCGTTGTAGCGCTGCCGAGTGTCGTGGGGCTTTCGGTGACCAGAGTTGGGATTCGGTTTCCTATTTTGGATATGCTACCGGATGTAATTTCACACACTCTATAACTCAGAGGTATAGATGATTGCCGACCTACTTATATACACGGAGTTCTATCTAGGATCTGACTTAGCCTACCGTGTGGGCGTACTAGTCACCACTATTCCTGGTAGTGGCTCTAGGGTAGTGTTCCTCCCTGGATAAATATATGAACATAAACAACGAAAAACCCATCTTCAAGCCCATAGTAACAAGTCCCTCCTCTCCTTCAAAAAACCGATATGTCAAGCATCGCAGTCTAATTCTCCATTGTAGCTAGATATTATAGTATCTATTTCAATTAGTTGCTACCTAGTAAGACAAGTTCCAGACTTACCTAAGTCAAATGGAAGAGAAGGGGCAATGACCCCTTTGCCTTTATAACACATACACTGAAGCCGGGCTCCATTGAGTAAACAGAAACTACAGCCCAGGTTTCGTATCGCATCTTTCCTGCAAATGTTAAGTATTCTAGACCACAATTATAATATCGTTCTTACCCCTTTTGAAGCGTGCCATTTCGGTAACCTAAGCATGAATTCAAATCTAGGGGCACAAAGCTGGAACTATGATCCGATCTCTGGCACTTCGCAAATAGCACATGACCCTCGAGCCTTAAACTAGAGCACGTCTCTGTAAAGTTTGCCGCACAAGCACCTCCGACTCCAAAAAGGAAGAGAAGTTCTTGACCGCGCATACTTTCAGTGTAAAAGAAGGGGACTGGGGGCTCATATAAATTGAAGCAAACGACTGTCTGTCGTGCAAAAGCTTTCTTCCAGTAGCATCGAAGCAATAATTTGTATTGGAGTTGGACTGGTCTCCAACTATATGTTTGTGCAGGTTTCTTAAATCCGAGGTCCTTCTTCTTTTATCATGTGAATTTAGAACGCTAATCCAAGGGTTGGTATCATAAAGAGACTATGGCTTTCTCATGGAACATCACACTTGACTTGGAGTGGAAATAAACTTTCTCGGGAAAACAGAGAAAAGGAAAAGAGCACACAGTAAATTACCTACTACTCCCGCTAAGGATAACTATGATCTAGCTGTAATGAAATATATTTTTTATTTTACATACTCTGAGCTAAAATGGATCCACTCTCTAACTGCCTTTCTAAATATAGTCCCCTTTAAGCAAATACCGTAGAACAATAGAATGATTGGAAATCTCTGTTCCTCCAAAAGACCACTAAACTAAAACACTGGTATGTAAAATAATATTGATAACAATCTTTACTGTAATATCTGTCCTCTTGTTTATATGCCTAGATATATATTTTTAGAGGCTTGTTTTAAATAATCCTAAAGGTCAAGCAAAGGTATTATATAGAACTATGCAATTTTAAACCCGATAGATAAATTATAGAGAGGAAAAGCTGAATATATATTAGGATAAAATATTCTCAGCATGGCAGTTTAATCCTGTATCATTATTGGATATGACATGGTCTATTTCAGTTGTCTGCTTTATCACCAATTTATATGATATTTGTGTAAGTTAAGCGAGAATATGGACACTGTGTGATAACTATGAATTTAAGTAGCTAAATATTGTAGACACAAGGAGATATCCGCCATATCACCGGCCATCAGAGGATTCAATTGCGGCATGGAACTTGGAACTTTGAACCAGAATTTGAACATGCCATATAGTACCTATCTTCTCTGGATCCCGCCCCCACCACCCAGATATGGCGAGGTTCCTCTTGCCAATCTCTCTTGTCTCTGCTTTGCACTCATATACACCCAAGAATCTCGATAGCGGATCATGTCCACATCATCATACTCTTGACCCGTCCTCTTATGTTTGAATACGTATTCCCAGCCACGCTTTGTCTTTACCCCGACAGCCCAGACCTCCCACTGCGGGTTCAATGTCCAATCTTGGTTGAAGACCATCTGATCTACGTCAGACTGCAACGTTCCGCGAGGTAAGTCCATCTTGAAGTTTTGCGAGACTTTCTGGTAGGTCCCTGCTTGAGGGATATTCTTAGGAACATCTTTTTGAGTGATTTGTTTTTCACGGCTTTTCACTTCTGCACCGCTTCGCCATGCTATAATATTTAGTACCATAACAGGTGAATATAGAAGATAATCACTTACGCATCAGAACCTTTAGAAATTTCCCCATGGTAGGTACGTTTGGGATAAAGATTTCACTCTTCTGGGAAAATCAAGTCTTGGATGTTTAGATTGAATGAAAATTTTAAGCTGGTGATAATAAAAACATCGAAGACTCAGGCCTTATTTATGGACAGGCATTGCTGAGCCACAGTATGTTTTATTGAGGAAAATTTCATTGATACTTTGATACGGTGCAGGGCCAATAATTACAGAGATATACTTCCAGTAATCTGGGGCAAAAATTACCAGATCCATCTATGTTTTTGGCGCATTTTTGGCTGGCGATCAGATGGATGTTACCGCTAGTAGATCTTACCAAATGTCTTGTAAAGTACTACCATATTTGAAACAGCTCCTACACGGTTTATACCTTAGTATTTCGGAGAGACTAGTAAATACTACTCTTACTGTAGATAAGAAACTCAGTTATGGCAACATATGCAGTTTATTTACATTTAGAGTATGTTATCGAGTAGATAGATGCTTCGCTATATGGCTATAGATAAGTAAGGTGCAACGATAGCGTGAGCGAAACTCTAGGGTAGAACACTAGTACACAAAACACTATTTATGACAATCCTACTGTCCACCTTTTTCGATATATAGGAGCCGGCTTCTAAAAGCACTGTTAAAAGTTAAAGTGTAGAGAGAACTTGATAAATTATCGGAGAGGTAAGTTATGTCTTAAGGCAGGTAGCTTCTCTCAACACTAAGTTGTTCTTAGAATGGCACCTTGCATTTCTTGGATTTGTCTTAAATGCACGACAGCCTGCGATTCCCATGGTTGGAAGCGTACAATCGTTTCTTGGGGACCAGGCGCGCATCTGGAAGCCACTGCTTCCCGCATATTAACTGCGAGAAGTAAAGTCCAACTATATACCATGTGTGAGAAATGCTGTGGCCTCGAAGGCCTCGATCTTGAAGACGAAAAGAGCCAAATGGAACATATCCAGCGGTTATCGAGTATGGGATATTCTGGTGTATCGGGAATTTGGAAACATCAAGAATGGAGAATGTGTTACCCAATTATGGAATGCTATGAGATCATGCAGCGTGTGAGGGAGAATAAAGAGGTTCAGCTTCATCTGATGAGCTCTGCTTGCTTATCGTATTGAGGCAAAGAACTTTCCCTTTGCTCTAACTCTATTGTATATCAATGACTTATCTGCGATATACGCACTTGTTCTTACTTTGCTATTTGCACCCCTGTTCCCTTTTCTTTTCTTTCCTTGAGCTTTCAATTCGCGACCTATACATGGCGGATGACTTTTGTTGCTGCAGAAGACACTGAAGAGTGGAGAGACTGGGCGATGGTATTTAAGATGCTCTATCACTCTAATGAATATAGATTATAATATTGGAAAATAAACTTAAGCATCCAGCTGAGCCCAGTAGAAGTAGTATACAAAGAAAAGCTGCACAGGTAGTAGTAGCCGAACGTGATATCCCTTCATAATAGTGTGAGTAGCGTTGGATAATATATACTAGGCGATAAGGAGTAGAGGAGCCTTTCTATACTAAATTCTACAGTACATACACAAAAATAATCGACTCTGTTTCTAGGTACGTATAATGAGCTTCAGTGAGAAGCTATAATTGAAGAAATGGGAAACCGCACAAGAATATTAGCATACATTAAGCGGATCACTGATTGTCTGAGATAGTTATATGAACAACTGTGTGCTTTGTGACAGTAGGACGTTGCGGCGGTGGAAGAGTGGTAGTAACTCTGGTAATACACACAGACGAGTGCTCTTGGATCCTGGGTAAGAATTGCTTCCACTGGTGCCCAGGATTCAAGGCAAAGTGAGTGGCCAGGCGACACGAGGATTTGCTACTTTGAATGGCAAGAAGCCAGGATGGTAGACTACTTTTCACCTGAAAGTGCACATTGGTAGCTCCATCCTTTCCAATCTCTCCCTGGTGTTGCCAAGGATTTTCCAAAGTTGTGTTATATAAAGTGAATGGGATATTATGGGAGAAAAACAAAATAGTATCACCAAGAGAGGCATTCAAGAAATTTCGAGATGAAATCTTAGTATCAGGGAATACCTCAACCGTGTGCGTAGTGCTTCCGGCGGATGATTGGTGTGCTGACATTGAATAGGAACAGCGCGACGTTACAGTTCTTGTAATGATAGTTGTTAATGTGCTTTCAAGAGGAGTTGAACTTGCAACCGACAGGGGACTTTTGCTCGTCAAATTATGAATTAAAGATGGCTGACCAGTAGCAGCTGAGCTAGCAGTGGTACTTAGGACGGCTGTCACCGTTGCTAATGGTGCAGAAGTACTTCTAAGCTCGGAGGAGGATGAGCGGGGGATCGTGTGTGTCGATGAAGATTTAGATTCAGTTTGGCTTGTTGTCTTCGAAGGAGCTGACAGATTGAGTGATAGTTCAGGGACTAGTTCAATATCGATACAGGATGTATAAACCTATCAGATCAGTAGCTGGACATGCTCGCATCTCAGAAAGATGGTGACATACAAGAAAGCCATCACCGACGGACAAGGTTGTGTTCCACATCCAATATACAGTATAGACTCCGTAAGTCGTCACATCCAACGGAATCTGAAATGCATTAGAGCAAGCGTTTCTAGTGTTCCACGGATATGGGGGTGTTTTAAGTACTAAATACCAGTGAGACGCCAGTTAATCATTTTATGTTGTTAATAAGGAATCGATTCACGCACTTTGACCTCCGCTGCCTTCATTTAAACTCGATATATCTAAAAATGTACGATAATCGCGTGGCAAATATGTTGGGAACCTGTACCACCGCACAAACCCAGTTTCGGGATGACTCTCTGGTGTGTATGTTGGGCAAATGATAGACCCAGGTGCTGCTTTCAAATGACTCCCGGGACTAACTTGGTAGGTCTGTCTCTGGAAGTCACTGCAGAAGTATGAATAAGGCTCGCTATCAACGAAGCCATAGATTCCCTGCGGAATATACTCAAAGCCTGGTTGTCATGAGCCATCTGTCTATCCACATCTTTCTGGATAACATACTGAAGTTTCGTGGGTAGCCTATATTCCATTCAAGGATACCAAAGTTGAGATTTAGCACATGGAGATGTTGAACCTACGGTGAGTTAGCCACCAGTGCTATTCGCTTTAAATGATGCAAAATAATACTTGCAGCCATGCCCATATCGGAAAAGAAAAGGCATGAACAGACCAAAGGGCCAGTAGCATTTTGAACAGACTTTTGTACCAGGCGGGGTTAATGTCTCTGGTATCACTTTTGGACTGGTATAATGCCCCTAGAGAGAAAAAGATTCACTTGAAAGCAAATAAAAGGCAAGACGATATCACGATCCCATATACACATATATTGCAGAGAAAGGAGCTATCTTGTCTGCCTTATCACACCAGCAGGGGTAACCGTTTTATGATCTTGACAACTAATTTGATTTGAAGTTTGTTTTTCCGCCGTCTTTCCACCGCGAGAAACCCCTTTTCTGTAACCCGAAAACAGTCTTTCGAACTAGATACCGTAAGGGAATAGATAGATACGACTTAGACTACCGCAAAGATTGAGTAGGCGATTTTGGAGATACATGCAGCCAATGAACCCAGAATATACAGAGGTGAACTTGCCCAGTGGGGTCGTGTATTAGCGCGACATAGAGTCGGTGGCATGACTACGGAACAAGATGAAGTTCGAGGTACTTTTTTCATCCCTGTTGCTTGCGCCCTGGTAGCCACCCAGTATCTATCTGTACTCCGTAATATGAACCGTAGCTCAAGTGCGGTTAGATTAATGAAATATCTTTACCACGCCGGCAGAGATACCGATTCTCTTGTGTTGGTATCAAATCAGGTCGCGAGTCATGTACAGCAAAATATTTTGGCCGCTTGTAATAGCGCCAAATATGCATCTCTGACCTCATAGAACGTCATAGTACAGGTATACCAAGTTTACCGGAACTTTCCATTGTTACTTAGCTTTATAAGGGATGCAGCATTTTCAACTAGTAATTTAACGAATCTTTCCAGTGGGTCTGTGCAATTACGTCAGGTATTTTGTGTAACTTACATGGCTCCGCGTGTGTACTATAGATAGTAATTTAATCCTTTGCTGTTGTCATTTTGTAAGGGTCCCCCACCCTGCCCTCCAGAAAAACCGATTCTCCGTATACAGTGAAATTGAATATATTGTGAACTTCTTAGTATAGTAGCAGTATTTTGCATTCAAGTTTTTATGTGTAGTTTTTATCACATTATTAGATATGATAAATAAAGTAAGAATAAATAATTATGCGAGTTGTCATTGTCCTCGGACGAGGGTACGGGATGAGGAAAGGGATAGTAAGAGCAAAGTAGGCTATAATCAAGAACGTAGGAAGTAGATACTGGTTTTGCAACAAAAAAAAGAAAAAAAAAAATTTTTGCTTCCTAATTTTTGTGAACCCCTAA